CCCTTTTCAGGATCAAAGAAGATGTAATAGATGTAACCTAAAGTATTTCACTAGCTGCCGTCAAGGTCATACATCCAGTCATGCAGTTGGCTGTCCCAGAGTCCAAGTTCCTTCCTCTTGCCTGAAGCATTAGCATCTATCCTACAGAGAAGCCAAAAGGAAGCACCAGAGAGTGGATCTCAGCTGTGTAATAGGTAGACGTTGGTTCTTGAACCGACTGCTCCGAAAGAGTGGCTGACATCCGTATTTACGACTTAAGGAGCAACAAGAGAAGCAGTGGAAAGAGTTGCTTCTCTTGGCTGGGGCACATCACAGGGGAACAAGAGATAGAGGAGGTGCTGGGAGGGAGGCATAGGTACCGGATGAGTGGAGAAGAGAGACAGAGGATGGCTAGTGAGCTCCGCCATCACTCAGAGCCGATTCCTTCTGTCTTTGGTGCTGGAATCCGTCAGCAGACTCCCGTGGCCATGGTGAGCTGGTGGAGGAGAAAATCCACCTTTCCTCTTCTGGTGTGACTGCCCCTTGAAGTAGGAGTCCAGTGGGCAGTCAGCCTGCCTCGTAGGCCTCCTGCAGGCAGGATTTCTTCTGTGGTCTCTCCTTGTTTCCTACAAAGTGAGCCTTTGGGATTTCAAAAATGGAAAGCAAAAGGTAGAAAATGAAGGCAGGCCTTTCTGGACCTCAACCGCCGATCAGGAGGACATATTTATCAACTGTGATTCTCTTTCACCTTGACCTTGACTTGATCATCTTTCACCATCTCATTTCACAGCAGTGCTAGTGATCTGTGTCTGGGAAAGAGTAGCGAGCAGACCAAGTAAGGCACTATAATGGGTTCACTGAGGCGTCTGTGGTTTCCACATCTCCTCTAGGAAGGAGCATTGTCTTCTCTTCCTTCTGCAGACACCCCTTTGTATGTTGAAGAGTATTTTGTGCCACACCCAGAGAACACGCCCACTCACAACACATATCCAGAGAAAGAGCTAAGGAAACATTTAAACTCTGCGTTCCAATATTGATGGAAGGAAAAACAAGTTCCTGAAAATTAAATCTCCTAGCAGGACCCACTGTTGTGAGAGAAAAACAAAAGCTAGGGGCAAAGCGCCCCCCCCCCAATCCTCCAGCATACCATCCACCCAATTATGAAAATCAGTAATTCATAGGCAGCCGAAATTTTAATTCAGGTCTGAGCAGTCTAAAGGTACACCTTCTGCTAAATGAAGGCAGCTGCATTCTGAATGTGAGCAAAGCAGGAAGGAACGATAGGGGGAGGGAATTCACCAAACACTAAATGGAAACATAACATTTATGCAATAAAGTTCACACTTCTCCCAAGCCAATGAGTGCCTCTTCTGCACTAGCATTTAGTATAGAGATACCTGGTTAGTGGAGACTCATTATTTGTGCGGTCCCAAGTGGGCCCCAAGTACTTGAAAGCCTTCCAAATGGAAGAAAAACTGTAGACATGAACATTTCATCCAAAAGAAATATTCTCTAAATGTCTCCCTTCCACTTCCTTGTTGCTATCGTAAAATTATTCCATGTCTCCTAAAACTTTTCCCTGCTCTGACACCAACAGCCTAGGGCAAATTTTGAAGCAAACAGACTTCTCTTCTGTCAGATTTAGCAAACAACACTATACTCGGTCACAGAAAATGTATTTTCCTCACTGTTTCACTGTGAAGGCTTTTTGGCAGATGATTAACAGGTTTGTATCTTACAGACTTCATAAATCAAAATCTAGACAGTGTGTAACACTTATCTGCAATTGATCCTGTTAAAAATGCAAGTGGTAACTATGGTAATTTATTAAGAGACATATTTTATACCCCTGGGTTTGAGAAGGACTGAGCCAGAGAGTTTTAGATCAGGGGTGGGGGGGTGGGGCGGGGGGATCTATGAGATCATCTGGTTGAATTCTCTCAGTGAGAGCAACAGTGTGGACTACATGATGCTTTAATAGGGCTGAGGGGGACAAAGTCCTGGGAGTAACTTAGCCTGTTTAAGAAGTCAAGAAGGCTTGTCAGAGGAGGTGACATTTGAGCTGGATTTGAAAGGACTAGGCGTTGCCATGCAGGGAAGCAAGGGAGGAGCAAGTGTAAAGATGAGGAAACAGGTGCAGGAAGATCAAGTGACACGGCCAAGGTCTGACAGCCAGGCAGTAGCAGAACAGGACCTGGCAACCAGGCCCCCTGCTTCTGCCCTGTACCCCTTCTGCGGTGCTGAAGGTGAAACCCACCCTCCCCAGTTGGACCACCAGCCAGTAGCTTAAAGCAAAAATAATCTTGCCCTAAACTTTACTCCAAATTCTTTTTTTTTTTAAAGTAGGCTCCACTCCCAGCAGAGGGCCCAATGCAGGGCTCGAACTCACGACCCCAAGACCAAGACCTGAGCTGAGATCAAGAGTTGGATACTTAACCGACTCAGCCACCCAGGGGCCCCTCAGAATCCTTATTTTTTAAAAGCATATTCAGAAGGAAACTTCCAAAGTCATTCTCTAGAAGGACACATAACTTTAAGACTGTAGGAACATGGATTCTTCCAGGCAAAGCCAATGGAGAGCCGAGGTGCTCAGGGCCCTGGCTTGTGAGCCTCGCTCCACCAGGACCCAGACCGCTTTGCGCTGGAAGGAGAGCACGTGTTAGATTGGACCCTCTTGTTCTTAACTCTGTGTTCCTGTAAAGCGCAGCTCTTGTTAGCAGAGGGACAACATCGAGTGAGTGGAATTTCCCACCCATTCACAAAAAGAACCACGCATTTGAACTCTTGAACTCTTTTTAAGTAGTTTCCAAGTCAATAATGACAGACAGTTGGGAAAAGACTTCCGGGAAATGCACCATACTATGAATTCCTCACCATCCCTCCATCTTTTCCCTTATCAATCCATACCCAAGCCATTCCTCAAGCCCACCTCATCCGAGAAGCCTTCCCTCTGCTGGTTTTGTCCCATATCAGCTACCATTGCCTTGGCCCTAAGTGCTTTGTTGCTCTTAAGGCTCAATGTCCTTCCTTGTCTGGACACCTTTTCTGCACATTTGCTCTCTTAATTAATTATAGACTCATAACATTTTAGAACAGGTAGCGGTCCTAGGGGTCATCATCTCTGCCATCACCTTCATTTACATATGAAGGAGGTGAGGCCCAGAGAGGGGCAGGAAGTTGTTTTAGGCACCCCCAGCATGATACTAGAAGAACAGGCCCCCGTACAAGGTCTCTTTACCTCCAGGCACAACTTCTTCCATGCCCCATGCTACCGCCTGAATGACAGCTGTTGTCTCGTTCTCCCAATTAGGCTGCAGATTTCCTGTGGGCAAGACTCACGTCTTAGATGATAACATCTCGTTTAGTAGAGGCCTTAGTCTTAGCTTCATGGCTTGTAGTTGTGAGCTAAGACAACACTTTGAATCCTTAACTCTGTCCCACCTGACTAACCCTTCCTCTGCTTTCAATTCGGACTCTGCTGACGCACTCTGAGACCTTGGGTGAGTCCCTGACCTTTCTCCAGGTCTCAGTTTTCTTCACTATTAAATGAGAGCATTAGGCTACGGTCTCTTGGATCCCTTTAAGCCCTGAAAGCCCTAGAATTTGCTACCTTACAGCGGGATCCTTTGCTGTCTTCAGGACCGGCCTCACTGTGCCCTAGATCTGTCACGTTGTTCCTTCTCCAGGCTTCTGCTGTGGAGTGAGTTGCCTCAAGGCCCAGAGAGCACAGCATCACTGAAGAAGACCAGGCCCTGAGTCCTGGGTTCAAATCCTGCCTCCAGGACTCAGCATCTTTGTGATTCTCCACAGGCCACTTCATCTTTCTCTGAGCCTCTTTTTTTTTTTTCTTTTTTTCTTTTTTTTCTTTTTTTTCTTTTTTTTCTTTTTTTTTCTTTTTTCTTTTTTTTTCTTTTTTTTTTCTTTTTTTTAAATAGGAATAACAATACATGCTTGCAGATTTGGTGACAGTGAAATGGGAGAAACTCTGTGGAAACATGTGGCACAAAGAAGGCTCCAGTATAGAGTGGCTTCTTTCCCCTATTCCACACCCAGCATTATTGAGAAACAGGCTGTTCCAAATAAACAGATTTTCTAGATAACAGGTTTACTACCTGAAGCTACAAAACATTGACGATTTTTTTTTTATTTTTATTTATTTTTTTTTTTGCTAAAATCTTTCTTAAATGAACTCCATATTTCCTTGTCAGGTCACACAGAATATAGCAAAAGCAGTAGGAAGAGTCTGAGAAAATCCCATCCCGGCAAAAGGTGGGCATGACTGCATATGCCGGGGAGGCGGGTACAGCAAAGGGAATGTGAAAGAAAACTCCAGTGCCTTTTGAGAGAGCTTGGAATTTTTTCATCTCAGTAAATGGGGAACCATCCAAGGATTTTAAGCAGGAGAATGACAGGATCAGATTTGTTTCTGAGAGATGGCTCAGTCCACCGGGTGGTGACGGAATCAGAGTGGGGAGCGAGAGGGGAAGCAGGAGGCCAGCCTCCAGGCTGTTGTGTTAGCCCTGGTGGCCCATGGTGGGCACCCAGCCGATAGGTGAAAACCCTGACATGGGAAAAAACAGGTCTGTGTATGGCCGGTAGCTCTGCGAAAAAAACAAGGAAATGGAATATCGGCCCATTATGAGAAAAATATAAAGCACGGAAAGTGCAAAGAAGACCGCGAGACTCGCCCAGTACGCTGGCCTCCACAAAGCAGCACCGCTAACAGCTTACGCTGTTTTCCCCAGTGTTTCAGCTGCAGAATTTCTAATGCATTTGTAGATACAAATTTGATATATAAAATCTTGGTTCAAGCGGACATTTTCCAGAACACATCTCTTAGCGTCAATTGAGATGCACTAAGAGTAAAAATAACGCATAATTTTTAACTCTGTCGGTTCCTTTCAGTGACTGGACTGGAAGAGCTCAAATGTGTGGGCCTGGCTAACCTGAGGTTGGATCCCTGGGCCTTCTGCTGGGTAATGAAAGCCTCTTTTCAACTCTCCTTCTCTCTTCCCCACCAGAGTCAGTGGATAACTGTCCCAGCAACTGCTATGGCAACGGGGACTGCATCTCTGGGACCTGCCACTGCTTCCTGGGCTTCCTGGGCCCCGACTGTGGCAGAGGTGAGACCTGTGCGTCTGCGGGTGACCCCCACTCCCCCGGCCCCGTGTGTGGCGCACGTCGCTCTTCTCAGAGCAAGCGCAGGGCCCCGGGCCACCTGCTGCCTCCCACGAGAAGGGCCCCCCAGGGCCGTTGTCCAGAAGCCCCAAGAGCAGGGCCTGCCTGCGGAGCCGGGGCTGGTCAGCCCTGTTGTTCACAAGGGTGTGAACCTCATGTCTGTGCTGGGGGCAGGGGAAGTGGCAGTGGCAGTCCTTTTAAAAAGTTGATTTCCCCTCAGGAAACAAACTGAGGGTTGCTGGAGTGGTGGGGGGTGGGAGGGATTGGGTGGCTGGGTGATAAACATTGGGGAGGGTATGTGCTATGGTGAGTGCTGTGAATTGTGCAAGACTGTTGAATCACAGATCTGTACCTCTGAAACAAATAATGCAATATATGTTAAGAAAAAAAAGAAGATAGCAGGAGGGGAAGAATGAAGGGGGTAAATCGGAGGGGGAGACGAACCATGAGAGACGATGGACTCTGAAAAACAAACTGAGGGTTCTAGAGGGGAGGAGGTGGGGGGATGGGTTAGCCTGGTGATGGGTATTAACGAGGGCACGTTCTGCATGGAGCACTGGGTGTTATGCACAAACAATGAATCATGGAACACTACATCAAAAACTAATGATGTAATGTATGGTGATTAACATAACAATAAAAAATTTAAAGGAAAAAAAAGTTGATTTCCCTTTTGAGGAGTGCTCAGCCTTTGCCAAGTGCCTTCGGTGGGGTTTTTTTTTTGGGGGGGGAGGTTGTTTCGTTTTGTTTTTTGATTATTGAAGGATAATTGACATGTGCTAAGGGGCTTTGCCAGTCACTTCACAAGTGTGGTCTCTCTGGCCTTGTGGCCAGGCCTGCGTTGCTGCTCCGTGGTGCCGGGATCTCTGCTGAGACCACTGAGGGGAGGGGTTGGGTGGGGGGCTGCTTTGCTCCACACGGGACCTAATGTTGCCTCATATCTGGGCACGGACAGTGCTAATGATGACCAGTACTGAGATGGCTAAAGGCTACCCATGATGTGCCCTGTGCCATTTGGCCTTCCTTTCTGTCCTTGGAAGAGTCAACAGGGCGAAGGCCAAAGGAGCTCGGTAGTCCTGAGGCTTTGGCACTCCTCTTGGGAAACTGAAATGGCTCCTTCCTTTGGTCTTCCCACCTCTTCAATCCTTCAGCAAGCGTTTGTTTAGGGCCCTTTGGGGCTTGTTCCCATGCTAGGTGCTGGGGTTAGAGCACTGAGCGAGGCCCAGCCCACGAGCTCTCAGTCTGGTGGGGGGCGGGGGGGAGGGACAGGGACAGACAAGTAAGTAGACGATGACAAAGCAGTCATTAGCAAGTGAAACACGCTACAGCAAGGTTAAATTCAGGGAGCGGCTGTCTTAGCTTGGATGCGATGAGGACCAGGAAAGCTCCCTGGATGGGTGACATTGGAATCCAGACCTGATGCTTGAACAGTCGTTCATCAGTGGGATGTGGAGGTGGTTTTTCAGAGTGCCCAGCAAATACCGTGACATGATACTGTTTAGGGGCTTCAGCTTATTCTTCCTAATGTGGAAGAGACTCCGTTTGAGATTGCAGAGCTGCAGCCCCAAGGAACCACAGTGATTACCTGCTGAGTGCCTCTAAAAGGAAAGAAGCCAGGTGGGGGCCAGGGGAAGGGGGTGCAACGAGAAGAGATGAGTCATTCCCTCTAACAAGAATTACTGTCTCATCCCATCCACACTTAAACTTGAAAGTCATGTATAAAACAGCCTTATTGTATCTCGGTAAGGCTCGTAGGTACTTACTGCACAGTGCAATATAATTTATTTTTATATCGCGTCCTTCATACAGGTGATCACGAAGCACTTTATGCTAAGAGGCAGAATGGGAAGGTAATACTTTAAAGAGCCAAGTTGGGCTGAGCTCTTCTCTTATGGGGGCAATAGTGTGTGGGGCTTGAAGGTAATACTTTAAAGAGCCAAGTTGGGCTGAGCTCTTCTCTTATGGGGACAGTAGTGTGTGGGGCTTGCGTGGAGCCCGAAAGGCAAGAAAGGCTGAGCTTTGCTGGGTTAGAGAGACAGCAGGTGGTGCTGCAGATGGGGCACAGGGAACAAATGGAATGCTGTCGGGAGAGTGCTGGAGGGGCTGGAGATTGGGGCAGGCAGGCGGCCCAGCCACTGTCTTTTCCAGTAAGACCAAGGAACAGATGGAAGCTTGGTGCGGCAGGGTCCTGGCCCCACCACCATGCTGTACCCATAGTACAAGGGGGATGGAGGAGAGCAGCGTTCAGTGGGTGCTTAACTCCACCAGGCCCTGCACGGCACAGCCTAGCCCACAGTTCCTCATGTGTTTAAACCAGAATGAAATAAAGCCAGAGACGCAGACAGATGGATACACACGGGGACTGTGGCAAAGCACCTGAGGCTCTTGGTCCGGCCTGCAGGCCGAAGGGAGAAAGGGACAAAGGCAGGGGGGCCGCATCAGGAGCTGATTCACGCCAGACTTGCCGTACTGTCTCCGCAGCCTCCTGCCCCGTGCTGTGTAGTGGAAACGGCCAGTACATGAAGGGCCGGTGCCTGTGCCACAGCGGCTGGAAGGGCGCTGAGTGCGACGTGCCCACCAGCCAGTGCATCGACGTGGCCTGCAGCAACCATGGCACCTGCATCATGGGCACCTGCATCTGCAACCCCGGCTACAAGGGCGAGAGCTGTGAGGAAGGTAGGACCTCGGAGTGGGGTGGGCGGCCCACCTGCTCTCGGAGCGCTTCCAGGGTGCAGGGCGCAGCTCTGCCCCCAGCCGGGCACCCACCAGCAGCGATAATTAACTTAGCACAAGAGAACAGGCAAATGGGAGCCCTAGCTGGTGAAGGAAAGAGAAGTCTCACTGTATGCAGGCTGTGTCCTGGAAGCCTTACATCATTTAACCTCAAAACTGACAGGGTGAGGTAATCATCTCTGTTTTATAGTTAGGGGAACTGGGACTCAGAGAGTCACATGACATGCCCAGGGTCACACGGCTGCAGGTGGCAGCGTTGGGGTTGAGCCCAGTGTTTCTGGCCCCCAAGCCCAGGTTCTTTCTCCCTCCCCTTTGAGCTCATATTCTCTCCATGTCTTAAGTAAGAGTCTGTTATAGACCTTCAGACTCTGCCCTCTGTTAGCACAGGTGGGCGTGTGTGTGTGTGTGTGTGTGTGTGTAGCTCATCAGCACTTGTGAGTGTGTCTCTCTCCTTCATAAAGTAAACTATGTGTAGTGGAGGCTAGAAAGTGAGCTTCCACTTTAACAGTGCACCAGTTCTTCCCTAGGCAATCTCATCTGGTGAGATGTGTGAGCATTTCTGTGGCCTGAGGAAGGGCAGCTGCAGGCCCGCGGTCATGGAGCTAGTGGCTAGCCAGCAGCAGGGCTGGGACCCACCCCAGGTCTTCTGACTTCAGAGCCCTCTTTCTTCTTGCCTGCATGGGATTTGTAGACGAGAAGGGTCTTACTCACAAGCAATATATATATGAGTGGCTTTTAAGAGTGCATGCTCTGGGATCAGATGTAGGTTTGAGTCCTGGTTGCTGGTTGTGCCACTAACTAGCCTCGCTTCCCTCATCAGTAAAATGGGATTTCCTTCCTCAGAGGGCCATCATAAGGATTGAATTAAATGACCCATGTAAAGCACTTAGCTCAGTGTCTGACACATAATAAATGCCCCATAAATGTTAGGTCTTATATTATTAGTATTAATCTGGGGACAGTTGAAGCACATTTCCTGTTTCACCCCAATCACTTTATCCAAGGTCTTTGGAAATGGGTGGACGTGGCTGTTGCAACTGGTGGACGCTGCTAATGGGCTTCCCTCCCACTGCCCACCATCTAGGGCGCTGGCATCTTCGTGGCGGATGGAAGAGGCTCCAAAGGAGAGCTAGCCTTCTAACCCATTTGGGATTTAACACATAGGCCCCTCTCAAGGTATCATTTCTCTCAGAAAAGAAAGAAAGAAAGAAAGAAAGAAAGAAAGAAAGAAAGAAAGAAAGAAAGAAAGAAAAAGAAAAAGGAAAAAAAAGAGAGCCGAGGGGCACCTGGGTGGCTCAGTCATTAAGCATCTGCCTTCGGCTCAGGTCATGATCCCAGGGTCCTGGGATCGAGCCCGGCATCGGGCTCCCTGCTCCATGGGAAGCCTGCTTCTCCCTCTCCCACTCCACCCTGCTTGTGTTCTCTCTCTCGCTGTGTCTCTCTCTGTCAAATAAATAAATAAAATCTTTAAAAAAAAAAAAAAAGAGAGAGCCGATATAACGGGCCCACTTTCAAAGAGTGCGGAACAGGAAAGGATTAGTGTCTGAAAAGCAGCGCCTCTCTGAGACAGGCTGCCTGTAAACCCCAAGTGTGCCTGGAGGTCCTGATTCAGACCTATTAACTTTGATGGGGATTACTTTGGGCTGTCTGAGAAAGGAGGAGCGCCAGCCTCTGGAACAAAGGCACTTCGCTTTCTCATCCCGACAATGGTGACCTTCATCTGCTTTCCCCTTGCATTTGAGTCACTTGAGGTGAAGACCCTGAGAAGAAAAGAAGAACAAACAGGAGATTCCTCTTGAAACAGTGGGGTCATCCCACCCTGAAGCCCAGTGTGTTGTGTGGGTCAGGGAAGGCCCGCTGTCCCCTCCCCAGCTCAGCTGGCTCTGGACAGTGCCCCAGCAGGCAGCCTTACTTACAAAAAGCAAAAAAAAATTGTTGAGCTCTTTGATATACGTTATCTATTTGAAAAAAGTGTTTTGACTCCTTTCTTTTCTGAGGAGGGCCATGTGGTACTGATTCCTTTTATTATTTCTGTTTCCCTGGTGAAGCGTCACTACACAGTCCTTGTGTTTATAAAGCGGGCTTCTAGGGGCCTTCCTCGCCCCCCTGCCCCACTCCCCTTTCTCCTCCTCCTCCCTCAGCTCTCTTCTACGGGTTTCACCGTGTTTATAAAACATCGACTAACAAGCTTACTTTTTCCCTGTCTCCCTCTTCTTCTTCTGAAGTTTATTGCCCCGTATTTTTTAAAGCCCGAGCCGTGCCAACAGGACGCTTGGAGGGAGGTTGGTGGGGGAGGGACAGAAGAGAACACCTTGGCAGTGCAAAGTGACACTGTGTTTTGGTCCTGAAGAGCATCTAGTAGCTTGTGTGGTCACTGAAGCGGGGCACATTTTGGGGGAAGAGTTGTGTTTGCAGCTTGGCCGTGCAGGCCTCCTCATTCTGTTAATGGGCTAAGCTTCTGCCAGAAATTTTGGCTTGAATGGCAGGCTCTGCAGAGGAAAAAACAGGTAACTGTTTGGCCCCTTGCCTAAGCAGAAACTAAGTTAGACTGTCTTCTACCCAGAGTTTGGCCCACTTCCCTGCCAACCTCTCTCCTACTCCTTCAGCATAGAACTCCCCCACCACGGGCTTGCTGGGTCTCCCCATGTGACGCACGGCTCCCAGGGAAACAGGTGTCATTTGTGAAACCGTCTTGGTGTGATAGAAGGAAGACAACTTTCATCCCATCCTAAGGTGCCCATCACCCCAGAGGCCCCAGAAAGTGAGGGCAGATCCCGAGTCTACGGAGGATGTCTCTAGCAGGGCGTCACGGTGGTGTAGATAATGGCCGTAGGTATCGGGTCAGCAGGGACAGCACCCTCCCTGCGGGGATCCCACTCGCCGCTTCAGCCGAGTGGCCTCCTCTTGAGGTGCAGTCCTGTCGTCAGTGCCTTCTGGTCTTCGTTCCCTGCCTGGACCATCTTCTGAGAGTGTGGGATTCGCTTTGCTGGTTCCTGGGTCCCTCTCAGACTTACTGTGTCTGAGGAGCAGGACTGTGACGCCAGGGGCCTCTTGCTAAACTTGGCACCCTCTCGGCTTGCTTGCTAACAGTGCAGATTTATAGATTCAACCTCAAGGGCGCCTCAGAGACAGCGTCAACCCCGAAGCCCGGGCCCAGGCCCTCCCAGAACGGGAAATACCTTTATGGGCCTCAGGACAAGAATTGCTGAGTCGTTTCCTGTCAAACTGGAAAGCTCTGTGGATCTAGGGAATTATCATAGTAGCCTAATGGGCCAGAATAATCCTTCTCAGGTTCTGAGATGTGAGGCTGGTCGTGAAAATATATCACTGTTATTATTTTTATTATTTTTAATTACCAGGAACTCCAGTGGGTCATGCTTTAACCATCATGAAGTGGTGTCCAGAGACTGCGAGAGAAGATTCTTTGCCTTCGTTTGGCTTTACTAATTCTCCACTTTGTTCTATTTCTTTTCTTGGTTTGTTTTGCTTTTATTTCTATTTTTTAACCATTTAGGTCTGTATATATGTATGCGTGCATTTTTGAACCAGTAAGATTACAGAAGAAATAGCAAGAGATGTGTACCAGGAAAGAATGATTCAAATTTAAATTCCTCCGCTTACCACTGTGAGATCTTGGGCAAGTTATTTAACCTCTCTGTGCTTTCATTTCCCCATCTATGAAATGGGGATAGTAATGGTATCTACCTCAAAGAATTGTCACTAGAGTTAAATGAGACTGTGTAGGTAAATGGTTGAATAGCAAAATATGGCCCAGAAGAGGGACTACATCAGTACTAGTTGTTATTATTATTGTTGTTGCAAATGATTGCTCCTGACTTTTGACCTTCTGATGTCTCATTGAGGTCATTAAATTGAATTCCTTTTCAAGACCTAAAAAGTAAAAGAGCTATCTTGATAAGCTGGCCCTCAGACAGACACTGTGTTCCCAGAATGTGGCCATTTGTACAGTCTCGGTCCATTTGTGTCTGTGACTTTAACATACCCAGGCCAGGTATCTTTTCTGCAAAAGTCAAATATGTGAGGTTATAAAATTTAATTAATCGATGAAGTAAAATCATGCCTGAATTATAAATAAAGTAAAAGCGCCTCTCTCCAGGTTACCCAAGTCATGCCACTGAAGGTCGTGATGGGATGGAAAAGTAACTTCTTGGCAACAGTGTATAGCTCACACGGTCCTTCCAAATCCTCAGTGTCCTCATTAGCAACTGAGAGTTAGATAATTTTGACACGGGAAGTTCGGAGGAAGTACGTGACTTGACGGTGGTCCTAGAACCGTGCCAACAGGACGCTTGGAGGGAGGTTGGTGTGCCTTTGTCCCATGACCCTTGAACCTAGGACCTCCGAGATCGGATGCCAAGTTCCTTCCTGTGGAGCACAGGGCTTCCTCTGGAGGGCTTCCTGGAGGAAGCTGACCACACACGCTACAGCACCGTCAACCCTTTTTCCAGGTATTGCACGTGGCAGCCCTACCAGGACACCACTCTTCCCTACAATTGCAAGAGGAACGGGAATCCTCTGCCTTCCTAAAATGAAAGACAGATCTCACAACTTTTTGGTAGAGTTGGACCAGCCTTTGCCAACTCTGTCTTCTCTCTGCTGCCTTTTGCACTTTCCATGTGAACTGGAGCCTTCCGCTTTTTCTGTGCAGGGCTTTACGGAAGATTAGAGGTCTCTGTTAATTTTGTGCAGCCCCATAGCTAAAGCTTTGATTTAGGAAAATCAACCCCAGTAACAAATATTGGCTTCAGAATCCGATAGACCTTCAGATTCCTCTCTGGCAGGGTTAACTGTATGATCTGGCATAAATTATTTGCCTCTCTGAGCCTTAATTTCCTCATCTGTACTTCACTGGGTTATGGAAGAAACTGATTCTGAGGATATATGTAAAGCACTTCCTATAGTGCAGGCACAGAGAAGGTAACCCACAATGTGATTCTCCTTTGTCTATTTCTGTGTTGGTCTCTTGAGACCACCTTGACATTGGGCTCTAGGAGCCCTACAGGGGTTGCTTGGCTGTGAGCCACAGCTATGTAGTTCACCCACTACATGAGGAGAAGCTGTGCAAAGCCTGTGAATATAATTTTGTCAGGTTTTTTGGTTGTGTTTTTTTTTAAGTTCGATTCGCCAACATATAGTAGTACATCATTAGTTTTTGATGTAGTGTTCAGTGATTCATTAGTTGCATATAACACCCAGTGCACATCATGTCACATGCCCTCCTCAATGACCATCGCTCGGCCACCCCACCCCACCCCCACCCCCTCCCTTCTGCAACCCTCAGTTTGTTTCCTGGAGTCCAGAGTCTCTCATGGCAGTGCATGTAATTTTGAATAGTCATTGAAATGTTTGCCCTCTGGAAAGTGAGGGTTTGAAATTTGAAAGTTTGTGTCAATCACAGGAACTTTGGGAAGATGATAATATCTAATGGAATTTAAATGCAAAATAAATTCTCTTTTCAACTAAGGAATCTCTTTGAGTCCCACCTTCATGGTAAGACTGTATTGTGAAGTGGTAAACAATAATAGGTTATTCGACAAAGATTTCTTGAGTACCTCCTATGCACTGAGCACCATTCTAGGAGTTGGATACACAGAAGGGAACAAAATGAAGTCTTGTCTGCTAACTGGTGCAGTTATCACAGGTGTCACAGGCACTGGGTACCATGCTAACACTTGATATATATTTCTTTTTTTGTTTTTTTAAGTAGGCTCCACACCCAACATGGGGCTTGAACTCATAACCATGAGATCAAGAGTCACATGCTTTACCAACTGACCTAGCCAGGTGCCCCTTGATATGCGTTTCTTACTCTGCCTTACAAACCAAGAAGTAGGAATTTGTATCCACATTTTACAGGCAAGGGAACCTCCCCTAGGTAAACAGTCAGCCTCCTATCAAGCCAGGAACCCGGGTCTACTGTTCATTCAAGTTCTTTCTCTTTACTATATTCAGTGGCCTCTCCACAGGAAGTCTGTGTCCTCTTACCAGGGTGAAGCCCCTCCACTACAAAGTGTAATACTTCACCACTTCACTGGTCAGATGCTCACCTGTGTTCTCTCTGTTCTCTATGCTCCATGTCACAGTGGACTGCATGGACCCCACGTGTTCAGGCCGGGGTGTGTGTGTGAGAGGCGAGTGCCACTGCTCCGTGGGATGGGGAGGCACCAACTGTGAGACGCCCAGGGCCACGTGCTTGGACCAGTGTTCGGGCCACGGAACCTTCCTCCCAGACACCGGCCTTTGCAGCTGTGACCCAAGCTGGACAGGACACGACTGTTCTATCGGTAAGTGTGGGGAGAAGGGCACCGCGTGGCCGGAGGGAGGAGCTTTCCACCATTACATGTTCACCATTCATTCCCCATCAGTGATCTGACCCTGTTCCCGGTCATTTAGCTGGGGGGGGGGAGGGGGGCAGGGGGGGTGTTACTTTTCCTCTTCCCCTGAACACCATCCTTCAGCACCTGTACTTTTAGATCAGCAGAGGATTCAGAAATTAATCTTCACATCATTTCTTCCATAGTGGTGCCTTGAGAGTGAAAACATTGCCCTGTAACCATGTGAATTAGAATAGTAGATTGAAATGTCATCTCCCATGTTACGGTGGTCATCCTGGAGGAAAGGCCATAGGGAACAGTGTGCCTAGGTGAGACTTGCAGGGATGAGGCTTTAAAGGACTCAGGTCCAGGGGTGCCTGGGTGGCTCAGTCCGTTAAGCGTCTGACTGTCGATTTCAGCTCAGCTCGTGATCTCAGTGTTGTGAGATCGAGCCCCAGGTCGGGCTCTACACTCAGCAGGGAGCCTGCTTGGGCTGCTTGGGATTCTGTTGCTCCCTCTGCCCCACCCTTCCTCCCGCCACCTCTCTAAAACAACGCGGGGGACTTGGGTCCCAGCTCTCAAACACTTTGGTTTCACTCGTTCATCAGAATAAAGTCTGAACTCAGTGTATTATTTAGGGTTCTCTGTGACCTGATCCCCACCAGCCATTCTGGCCAGATTCTCTGCTAGCCAGTAAGTTCCATGAAGACAGCAAACGTGTCTGTTCACCCTCCATGCCCAGGACTCAACACAGGCCTGGCCCACGGCAGCTGCTTGAGAAATACTGATGAATGGGTAATAAGCACCTGAAAGGACACATGACTGAATGTGTTCTTCACTGTAGTGTTCAGTTCATATATAGAGGGTTTATATATATAACATTCAAAGGATCATTACATTGGCACCCTTCTGTTCATAAGTGCTTTACGATTTGTAGACCCTCTCCAGAGGAGGGCTGAATGAAAACAGGTGTGAATCACCTAGCACAGTACTGGGATATGGTGGGTGTGTTCACTTCTCAGACGTCATTTCAACAGAGTCCACTGTTTAAATCCACATGAAAGCCCTGCGGCAAAGGTATCATCACCCCTGTTTCACTGATTTACATAATACTCCAATCAATGAATACTTTTGAATACCTACTATGTACTAGACACTCTTCTAATCAGAGTTACAAAGAGATAAGAAAGTCCTGATCTTTGTTGAGCTTCCACTGAGGGAGACAGCAAACAAACAAATGAAGAGAAATCATGGTAAAGAAGCTAAGGCACAGAAAATTTTTAAGTAATCCCACCCAAGGACACACAGCTAAAAAGTGGCAGCATCCCCCACTATGGTTTTGTTTTTTGTTTTTTTTACTTAAATCACTTTCTTTACCACGCCACACTGTAAACAGAGTGCAGCTCAAATGAACTCATTATGTTGCATGTTAACAGTCCTTTTTGTGATCAGGAAAGATGGCTGAGGCCTTTGGCAAAGATGAGATCCATGCAGCATTTGTGCCTTTGGAATACTCTGAACTACCTTGCCCCATTAAATGGAGAATTGATGTTCAACATGCAGTCTAAATTGGACTTGTATCCTTGTTTGCAAAGCTCGCATTAAGACGTGATTGCAAACACAGATGCGCAGGATCTTAGGAATAATTCTTTTTATATAGCTCCATTTATAGCAATATAAAAAATGGTCCCCTTGAAGCTACACTGGGTTGTATTGTTTGTTATGTGGCCACAAAGCTAATTTATGATAGGCATATAACTGTCTGTGCATTGTTAATCCCGGATGAAACTGTACAGCCTTTCACGGAGGCAGGTATAACTTTGGGTGAGATCACTAAGTATTCTTTCATTTGTCCTGTAAAAGGACATGGCAGACCCAATGGAAGGGACTTTGAATAGAACTGTGAGAGCTCGTCTTCCTCCCTTCCTCATACACCACTCCCCATAACTGGTGTCAAACGTGTGTATGGCCTCGTGTGCAAAGGCAGAGGAGTTCCAAGTGATGAGAAGTGTCCCTGAGCTCAACAAACCTTGGTTCAAACCCTGGCCCTAGTTATAACTCTGGGCAAGTTCCTTCCCCTCTCTGAGCTGTAAAATGGAGGTGGTGACAGTCCCTACCTTCTAGGGTTATTATTTGGAAAATTATCATGTGGTGAATTATTTAAGATGATATTAAAGAAGCACTTAGCATGCTACTCAGCTTGTGATATGGGCTCAGTAAATGTTAGCTGCTGTTATGATTATGACTAAAACAGCCACTGATGAGAGCCCCTGATATTAATGAAGACATTTGATAGAGGCAAGATGAAATATGCCTTTTCAGAAATGTAGATTATAGTTTTTAAATCTCCAAGCTACAGCTGACAAAAACAGTGTCATGACTGCCAACCCGGCCAGGAATTTCAAAGATGGCTTCAAAATTACTGTCTCCCCTGGCAATAGTAATAGCAATTTGTGTTTGTCGAGTGCTTCCCGGCCTACAGAGATACTTCACACACGCACACACACCCCCACAGTGACAACCCCGTGGGCAGGGTGACCAGGTAGGACATCACCTCGAGGCTCAGGGGGTTGCCAGGCTTGCCCAAGGAGGCTGGCAGCCAATGTTCAGCCTGGGGCCCCTGGGCCTCGCCTGCGGCCCAGCACTCCGTGTCGCCTCTCCACGGGCCACTGTTTCTCCTCAGCTGTCCCTACCCCCCAGAAGCCAGGCGGGAGGTGAGCGAAGGCACTTGGAAGGTGGTTCTCTCTTGCCCCCCGCCCTGTATCCGCGGTACCTGCTGGCCTCGGTCCCGCCACTGCCACGTGCTAACTGTGTGACCTTGGCAAGGTACTGGCTTTTCTGGAATTCAGTTTCCTGATCTGAAAACTGGAGATAATGATGTCTCCCTCAAAGCTCATGTGACCGTCAAATTCTAGAACGTATGTATGCACATCGAATAGTGCCTGGCTAGAGTGAGCACTTCGCGTCTCTCTCCTACCGCCCTTCCGAGGGCACGTCAGCCAGTGGAAGCTGTTTGAAAGCTATCGAGTTTTTGCCACAAAGCTAAGCAAGAACTGCCTTACTGACTGGATGCCGCTGAAGCTGGGGGGCCGTCTCTATGTCCAGGGGGTTAGCTACAAGGTGGTGGGACAGGCACTGGACTTCGCCTCAGAAAATCTACCCCCTGCTAGTAGAATGGCTTTGGCAAGTTGCTTAACTTCCCCACCCCTGCCACCTCAGTTTCCTTCATGGTAAAATCACCTATGGGATTGTGGTAAGGATTCAGTGAGAAGATGGAGGTAAAATGGTTGACGCCACGTCTGGCACGACTTGGGCCCCCGTGAGAGGCAGCTGCAGCTCACCCGAAGTGCTCCTCACACCATCGGCACCGACTGTGGCTTGTGGGGTTGGCAGAAATCACCACTGGGCCCTCATAGGAAGGAGGACCACCTCTTCCGAGATGAAGAGATGTCTCACTCTTTGGCCCGGGGAACAGGATTTAGTGAAAGCAGCTGAAATCAACATGCCCTGTACTCAGCGACCGGCCTGTCATGAAATGTGAGCTGACGAGTTCCTCAGCACTGTGGTTACACTTGTGGAAACAGTGAAGTCAGATTTTATGAAAGGATTTACTCAGACCCCCAACTTCCCAGCAGCTTGGCTTCCATCTCAGCTCAGAAATTCCTCCTGAAATCTAGCCTCCTTCATGGGATATTCCTTCCTGACAAACAGTGTAAGATAACCGTTGGGACAAATGCCTATGGCCTGGAAGAGTGTGGGTTATAGGCCCCACCCCCCACACACTGGTGTCCTCAACTCTGGACCCAGTGGGACTTGGCTTTTCCAGTCTTGGGGGGATGATAGTAGTGATGATGGTGGTGGTGACTGCTAGTGTTACCGATGGTAAAGAGCTGGAGACAGGAAATGACTTGTCCAAAGTAACTCAGCTAAGCGGTGGCAGAGTGTGAATTAAATCTAGGAGCTCTGTTTCCAAGTCCTCAGCTCTTGCCTCAAGCCCCCTTTCCATCCAAAGAGGTTTCCTTACAAGGATGGAGCGTTACTTAAAGAGCCACCCATTTCTTAGTGCTTACCGTGTACCAACTACTGAACTAAGTGCATTACAACCATTATCTTAGTTAAGGTTCATATGAAAACTGTAAAGAAAGTATTACCAGTTCCATTTTCTAGATAAGGAAGCTGAAGCTCAGAAAAGTGAAATTCCTTGCCGGCATCCCCTCATCGGTAAGTGGCAGAGTCCAATTCAAACCAGATATGGCTCCAAGGCCTCTCCCAAGCTCTGTGGTATACTGAGCAATATATTGTAATCTTGCCTTTCTCTTGCCAAGCTGTGAACTCTATGTGGTCAGGGTCTACCAGTATCCCTAGCGCAGGGCCTGATATGGGTTAGGTTCTCAGCGATTACTCAATAAATGACTTACCCAGCGACACATCAAAGAAGAAGCTAGAGGCTCTGCCCAGGAAGAACCCAGCACATTACCAGTCTAATCTGTTCTCTAAGGCCCCTCCTCCCCACCCCTGTGCACCCCCACATCCTTGCACACACACACACACACACACACACGCATGCACATGCTCACACGCATGCAGGGGCACACACCCTGCAGAGCTAAAACCAAAATCCCTGGGCTCCTTCTCTTGTCAGTTTCCAGACCTAGCTCATGTCAGTTTCGTGTGCCTTGCCAGCCAGCCAGAACCCCTCCTGGAGGAGAGCTGGCATCATTTCACCTCCTTCAAGTCTTCCCTGAGGAGCAGCCCTGGTGGGCTGGATGCCTCATCTGCTTATGCATAAAGTGGGTGCACCCACCAGCGCTGCTGAGCCAAGTGACTGTCCCTACCAACCCCAAGTTGGATTTTCATTCTCTTGGCTGCCTTAGAAAAGGGAAGGAATTTAACCTCTCCAAGATGGTCCTTACAAGTAGAAAAGTTTACCTTTCTTTCAGAGCCTAATGACTCCTTAAGAAGATTTCAGG